AAAAACAAGTAGTTTAAAATTCCGTTTTAATTAAACTAAAATATTCTCAAACCAACATTTCACGATCGATCCAACTTTAGTTAAATAGATAAATTAGTGCTTAGTCATCAGTCCTCGTGGGATCGACAACTTAATCTTATCACTTTATTATTTATACGACCGGTGCATTTGCCGAAGTCGCAACATATTACATAATATACCAATTGGGAAATGTCAATAATTGTGATATTTCTGACAATAACTTTATTTGTTCAATGCATTTAAACAGTATTCGAAAGATAAATGGAATATTAGTATACGCTATCATTAATAACATGGGATAGTAAAAAAAAAAAAAATGATATATAGTTAATAGGTTTCTTATTAGTAATTGAATGGCAATATGGTAAATGCAAAAATTTTGCAGCTTTCAACACAAGCACTCAAAACTGCTATCTTTGGAAGGAAGATTATAGAACGTGAGGAAAGGAAGTAAAGTTCTACTCAAAACCAACATCTGCTACAACTAAAAAATACATTATGCTATAACCTACTAGTTTTATCATCTATGACAAACACATCTATAGTGGTACGGGTTATTGATTGGGTCGTTCCCCTCTACAGGTACCTGTTGAGCTCTGCACTTATACTTACATCCTCTACATTCATTGTAAGTGCAAGTTGGTGTTGTTGATCCAATCATCACTCTCCTAGAATTCCTCATTGTCCATGCTTTAATGCTACCCTATGATTCCAAATATTCAATGCATAAATTTTAAGTACTGAAAGAAAATATTCCAAGCATTTCAATTTGATAATTTTTGTGTTTGGTTCACCTTTAAACTTTGTTCTTTTTGGGATTGAAATGACTTGGACACCCATTTTTCTGTTTTAATACCTGCAACAACACAGTGATCAAATTTAAGATACATAGAAAATATAATCATCAAAAAAAAAAAAAAAAAACTGAGCCTTGATTCTTCCACAACGTTGAATATTCCAATTACACAAGTGTATAGTGGCACCTTGTAAAATGACAAAAGTGATTGCTGTAATATACCTAGCCTAATTAAATAATAAATTACATATAATTAAATAATTTAGCATATATTGGTGGGTTGAAATAAGTAAAAGGCCTAATTAAATTAATTAGGGTCACTTTTGAGGTAAAAAGTGCAGTCAGTGAGAATTAAGGGGTATAAATGTGTGTAGGCAAAAGTACCCAAAATATAAAAGTAAAGTTAAAATATTACTAAGAAAATATTATAGTCCATTGGGCTAAATTTGGTTGTGAATGGAGTTGACTAGATAGATAAGCTTATACCCAGTTGAAATAATTAACCTATGTTAAAACCCACCCATTTCATTCTTCTTCTTCGTGAAAATAGGGAGAGGGAGATTGGTAGCCATTGTTGAAGAGCTTCATTTTGCAACTTCTTCATTTCTTGACCAAATCACTTGGTTCTTGGATCAAAATTGTATAGAATCTCAAGCCAAACATAACTCATAGATTAGATTCTCTTGAAATCAAGTGTGTAGTGAAGTTAAGGGATCCTGCTGTATAAACTTATATTATACGATGGTCGCACCAAACAACTGAAAATATCATAATGTATAGTATAAGTTTATACTATCAGATCTTATACGTCACACCAAATAAGCCCTTAAAAATAGGAATTAACCTCTGCACTTAAAATCACCTAATGCTATTTCATCAAACTCACATTATGCTATTCAAAATAATTAACGTTGAAATTAAAATCTTACATACTAAAGTGAAGTTCATTTTTTTTAGTTGGAAAGGGTACTTAAAAGAATGTAATGGAATAGTAGATTCACAAATACTTTGCATATAGCCTTGTAGCTATATGTGAAGCTTCTTATGCTTGTATCTTTTGTAAGCGTCAGCATCTGTATAATTAACGTTGGATCTACATTTACCCATGAACATTTAGATTGATGTACCCTTTCCAATTAACAAAAATGAACTTCACTTCAGTATATAAGATTTTAATTTCTACATTAATTATTTGGAATAGAGTAATGTGAGTTTGATGAAATAGCATGAGGTGAGTTGGACAAAATAGCATTAGGTGATTTTAAGTGCAGGGGTTAATTCCTTTTTTTAAAGGGTAGTTTTGGTATTTTTTTTAAAAGATTAACTCTGTTAACTTTAACTTTGGATGGAAAATCAAATTAGAGGGGTAAATGATAAAAAAAAGTTTTAAGTAGGGGTGTAAATGATTAAAAAATTTGGGAAGGGGGTAAGTGATTATGAGGAAACTTACAGGGGGTTTTTGAAGTTTTTCTTTTTATCTTTATCCTCTTTCTCTTAAAAATTGAAGTTTAGCCAAACATATTTTTATAGTTTTACCCTTATTCTAAACGTGTATTTATAAATTTTATCATTTTCCTAATGATTTACTCTAATGAAAAGTTAGGAAATTTTCACTCTTCAAAACTCTAAAAACAGCTTTATATAATTATCAAATATTTTTTAACTTTTTTAAAAAAAAGTAGCTTTTAACTTGCTTAAAAATATACTAAATATTTATTAGTTTTTATTTTCTTGCAAGTTTAGCACAAATACTAAGCAGCTAATAATATTTAGAACTCATCTTAAGTGTTAAAAATTATAAAAGAAGAAGTAACAAAGTAATCCTATTTTACAAGGTAAACAAGTTGTTTTACACATAAGGCGCGTGAATTTGCTCAATCTTATCATTTAAGTAAGTATTTTTCTTTTATCAAATGAATTAGCATTTATTTTCATAATAAAAATTTTTCTTAATCCAATAACATTTCTTATTGATGAGCTGATAACAAAGACATGAAAAGTTAACGTCATTATGAAAATAAAATCCTTAAGGTGCATATTATTTAATCATAAAAACATAGAATAAAAATAATTCTTATTTTAGAAATTTAAAGAAATAATTTATTCTTTAAATTATTAAAATAATTTAATAAAACAGAATAAGCGTTTCTTATATTTTAGTAATGTAATAATGTATGCCTGAAGAAAAATTTGTGTACTTAAACTCGAATTATCATGATCATCAAATATGCGGATTATCTAACACCGAATTGTTGTATAAGATTCAAGTCATACGTATATATTATATTAAAAATTTGGGTGAATTTAGCTTGAGACATATATACATAACCAAAGTTTCATGTTAAAATCGATCCCTTGCCCTTTACCAGTGTTTTAAAACTCGAACCGGTCATCCCACCGGTCGAGGTACTGGGTCATTGGATCACTGGTTCAATTGAGTTGAACCGGATTTACTGTTCATATATTAAAAATATAAAAATATTACTTATATTAATAAAAATTCACATAAGAAAACCATCAATGAGCTTCAAAAAATAAATTGATTTTCAATGATAGCAAATATTATATACTTCTAAGCTTCTAGCTCTAGACCATATCCTAATATTGGATTAAAATTGCAATATAAGTTAAATGCACCTTTTGTGCTTGACATGATACGGATAAATTAAATCATGATAACAAATAGTATGCATGAAATATATACTACGAAAAAATGTCACCGTTACCATGATAACAAATAGTATGCATGAAATATACACTAAAAAAAAGTGTCCACCGTTGAGATGAGATCATGAGACCATCAGTGTTTATCACCACTTTATTTCATGAGATCGTTATAAGATGCAACTAAATTACATAAACGAACTGCACTAATTTAAAATACCTTATTATTTTCACCTTACTTTTAATCATATTCATCATAAAATATGAATATGATTTAATTCAAGAGTTTTTATCAACAACAAAAAATTACCAAAAAAAAAGGAAAAAAAAGAAAAGAATAACCGGTCTAAACCGAGTCGCCGAGTTTCGGCCGGGTCAACCGGTCCAATCCGAGTTGACTGCAGAAGCGGTTCAACTACCCGCTTGGACCGGGGAACCCACCAGGTCACCGAGTCCCGAGTCGACCCGACCGGTCCGAGCCGAGTTTTAAAACACTGCCATTTACTAATTCCTTCTGATTATGTTGTACTCGAATTTGGATTAGTTGAATAATTTAGGTAAAAGTGGTCAATATTTTAGCCATTAAATCCATAAATCAGTCATATCCAGAAAAAAAAAATATTGATGAGACCAATGCCTTGATAAGGCCTTAACAGACGCATGTGAATTATAGGAATAAGTAAAAAGAGTTACCCTAATGGGCCTAATCATATTTCATCAACCGGTGCCGAATTTTTAAAATGGGTACAAAATATTTTTTTTTTTTTATGGTGGCTGGGAATTAAACATAGCTAATAAGAGTGAATAACGTTACCACTTGTTATTAAATTATCCTCACTTGTTAAATAATATGCATTATTTAATATATTTATTGTATAATTTAATAGAATTATTTCAAAAGTTACAGCTAATGATAATCAAACACTTGTCATGGGTATACATCATAGTACTTAGTAACCACTGCACTTATTTAAATTGCATCATTTAAAATATTTATTATATAATTAAGTATAAAATATAAATTTATTTTTATATTCATTTGTTAAACCAGTAATCCACTAATCCACTATCTCGATTGAGTGGAAGATGTTTTGAGTTTAACATCGTTACTTTATGGAAAAAGTATGTATCATTTTAAAAAATATAAAGTAGTGTCAATTTAAATAAGATAAAGAGATAGATTATGGAGAAAAAAGAGTGAACAGAAAAAATAAAAGTATAGGTTCCATTTTTTTTGAGAGTATAATGACATAAATTGTGTCATTTATAAAAACAAACATTTTTTCCTTATTTTACACACGAAAATAAAAATAAAAAATTATTAAAAAAATCATAAAAAGATATTTTACAAAATAAAAAAAAAAAATCAGAAAGGGGCAAAATAAACGCATTCAACTCCTGCAAGCTCCGAAAACGACTGTGCAGCAGCATCCACACCTTTGTTTGCTTCTTCCCTCTCTCTCTATATATATATATATATTGCAGTGTGTACTGTGTGAGTAATCCATCAAAAGAAAAAGAAAATGCTTCACACTCATCCGTGTCTTCTGGTATTTCCATAACTAGGTGCTAGCTGTCTTTCATTCCTTCATTCTTATCTTTCTCTTTTCATTCTCTTTTTCTATTGCTTCTTTCTTCCTCTTCACCCTTCTCTCAGGTGCTTTGAAGATGAGTGAGATTACTGAAGAAGTGCCTGTTACTCTTGACATGCTTAAGCAGAAAATGAGAGAGTTTGCAAATGAGAGGGATTGGGACCAGTTTCATAGCCCAAGGAACCTCCTTTTGGCTTTGGTATGCTTCACTTTTCAAACCCAGAAAAAAAAAACCAAAAATGAAAGTTCTTTCCTTTTTTTGGTTGCACATTGTATTAAAGTTATTTGTTTCTGTCTTTTTCTAAGCATACCCATTTGAGATTTTTTTTATTTGGAGGTAATTTTAGATTATTTTTGTTGATGATTCTATTTGTATAGGGTCTCACAGAAGTAGAATCATTTTTATTTTTTTTTCTGTTTTGTTCTGAGTAGGTTTGTTAATTGTTAAGCATTTATTCCTTTTTTGTATGTATTCGGGAGACTGATATTCCTAGCAAGTTGGCTCCATTAATTTTTTAATTTATCATTTGTAAAGAATTATTTCAGCCTAAAATTTTAAGATGGAGGATAAAAAAAAAATTTAATAGTTTATATTATTTTCTAATACATCCGCAAGAATTTTTTGAATAAATATTGTATAAGTTCAATTTTTTTTTAAAATTTTATTTTATACTTATTTAATTTTACAAGTAGGAAAACGGTGAAGATCGAACTTTTAAACTTATGATCACTAAAATTTTAATATCATATAAAGAATTATTTCAACCCAAATTCTTGAAGTGTTGGTGATGATCTTTTTAATTTTTTATATTATTCTCTCACCTCTTTTGAATTCAACTAATCGGATTTTGTGTTTTGAGTCTTTTTATCCATTTAGTAGCTCGAACTCTCACTGTTCGATAACCCACTTATCTATGGATATGTAAAATGCTATCAAATATTGGGTTCCTTTTTAATTTTTCAAATTGTGAGAAAATTCTGTTAAAATATTGTTAAGAAAATTCTTTGCAAACATATTCTGTCTTCTTGTTATTACACTACTTCTTGAAAGATGGAACCCATAAAACATTTTTTCTCCATTCAATATCCTTTGGTTTAAGCCATTTTACCCTTGTCTTCTTCATTAACTTTTGTTACCCATGATTCAAAAGTGTGTCAAAATTATGTTAAATATTATTCTCAATTTTGGGTCCTATCATTTTTATTTTATTTTTTTTTAATGATTCTACAGGTGGGTGAAGTTGGAGAACTATGTGAGATATTTCAGTGGAAAGGAGAGGTTCCAAAGGGACTTCCAGGTTGGAAAGAAGAGGAGAAGGTTCATGTTGGTGAAGAGCTTTCAGATGTTTTGCTTTACCTTGTGAGGCTCTCTGACATTTGTGGTGTTGATCTTGGCAAAGCTGCATTAAGAAAGGTTGAACTCAATGCTATAAAATACCCAATTAAAGTTTATGAAGACCCTTCAAGCAGCAATTAGAATCAAAGGCAACCCCCAATGAATAATGGAACTGAAGATGCTTGATGATAATCCACTAGTACGTACATTTGATATTATGATTGCTACTTTAAGGGGGTACAGTAGGAAAGGGGATTTGGTATATGTTCTTCTAAAAAAGTTGTGTCATTGCATGGAGACTAGTGTTGTTGGATAGGTTTTGTGCATTTATTCTCGGCATATTCTGTTATTGTTTTGACGGATTGATTGGAATACTTTTTGGTGAAATATTTGTCTTTGATAACCATGTTTTTAAAACAAGATCAAATCGATTGATTGGACAAATCAATATGTGAATTGGGATGTACCCAAAAAAAAAAAAACATGTGAATTGGTTATTTTTTTAGTAGGACATTGATTTAATTATGAATTTGAAAATCTTATCAATTTAATTTTCGATTCAAGTTTTAAAATATTTCCTTACTAGATTGATTTTCGGATATCTCACAGTATCTCATAATAATGGCTTTTTCTTCTTTTGTCATTTCTTTCTTTTGTTTACGACATTCAATAGTTTTCTTTTTTGCTTATCACGTTCAATAGTTTTGTGATGTTTGTGCGGTTAGAAATTAAGGGTGAGTGATTAAGTTTTATGTTGGTTAATAATTGATTAAATAAAAATCATGAGTGAAAAAATTCATAAATTCTTTACTTCAAATTTTTTCGTCAAAATGTGATATCAAGATCGTTGTTATTTAGCCATATTTTCGGCTCTATAGTGGTACCCAAAAATTAATATTAGGATCGTGCAGAATATTAGAAATTCAAGTGAAAGTTAAAAAAAAGTACGTTAATTAAGATGGACTTGCACAATTCAAGAGCCGTGGGATACTCCGGTAGGATGGTAATGCTGGTATCGGAGAACTTTGCTTGGCTTAAACAAATTGTAGTCTGTAGATAAATTGATGAGGTTCCTGTAAGGCACTCTAATGTTCAAATTAGTATTTGATCAACGAGCTTGCTTTATAATGGATAAGATGATTATATATGGGCTTTGTCGATTCATTATATAATGGTGAAATGACATGCTTATGTCGCCTTAGTGTAACAACACTTAATCTCATTGGTGGACTAAGGTGGCTTGTGTAGCATATCTTATGTGACGGATGCTTATTTATTGGCTATATCCTTTAAGCATCGCTGGAACCATGTGTCTATCCCTAAGTGCTTGTTTGGGAGATCTTTTTTTTTTTCAGCTTCTCTTCTCTTTATAAGTAGAAGTTAGGTCAAATAAATTTTTACAAAAGCTCTTATAATAAAAAGAGTTTTTTTATAATAAAGAAAAAGCTCCTAAATGGAGCTTTTTTTCAAGTTGTATCAGATTTTTCTTTAATTTGAGTTTTTAAGTAACTTTTAAGTTAAAAATTTTATATAATCATCAAATAGCTTTCAGCTTTATTTTTGAAGTTTTTTTCTTCTAACTTTTGCTTAAAAATAGCTTGTAACTTTAAAAAAAAATGTCAAACTGGCTCTTAGTCATTGTTGAGGAGGTTATGTAGGATGGACGCGTTTCCTTACTCCGCTTAGTATGGTCCAGATTAGGACTAATTGAAGATAAAAAAAAATTAAAAAGGTTCATAGTCTTAATATGTTTTTTTGTAGATATTATCTTAAAAAAATCATCATCTTAATATTTTGAATTAAGATATTATCTCACTTAACACATTAATAGTGGTAAGTGAATTCATATAAGGCACTATGATGCTCAAGTCAGTATTTGATCAATGAGCTTAAGTTATGATGGATAAGATGATCATACATATGCTTTGAGCCTTCATTATATAATGGTTGAATGACATGTTTATATTGCCTTAGTGTAGTGGCACTTAATCTCATGGTTGACTGAGGTGGCTTCTGTAGCCTATCCGCGTACAATATTGTCTATTTGTGGGCCGACTATGTCCTTTAGGCATAATTGGAACCATGTGTCTCTCCCTTAGTCTTAATAGTACGTCTGTGTGATGATGTGTATGTGGGATGAACGCATTTTCTTAATCTTTAAATCTTTGTAATTGGGCGTCTTGAGTTATAAATCAGTTGGACCATATATTTTGCCTAATATGAGGTCTAGATCAAGACTAATCAAAGATTAAAAAATATATATTAAAAGATTCACTATTTAATATTTTGAATTAAGATATTATCTCACTTGAATAAATGTATCCTTATTTCGGCTCTCCATCCCGCTTGAAAAAACATGTGCAAAGTTGTTGGGGCTTTTTGCTTTGGGGGAGATTTTTGGAGTTTATCTTCTTCTATTGATGAGCCATTTATGATTTAGCTATTAAACTTTTTTTTCTTTTCAATAGTACGCGCTTGCTCTTATTTTTCTTCCATCCGAAGATTATTAACCTCTAGTCCAGAGTAACAAAATCCAAGTGAATAAGTGTAAAAGTTTATTATCAGAATTCCTTTAATTTGTCTATGAATTTTTATTTTTTGCTATAACTTTTGTCTATGAAAACCTTTCTTATGCAAAGGAAAACCAACCTAATGTGTGCCTATGTCTTTGTGGCAGCTGTGAATGTTGTCGGGCTTGGTCTGTGCCTTTGTGGCATGTGGGCTACACGAGCAAAATGTTGTAAATAATTGCACCAACATGGATAAATTGACTATGGTACCATGTAATTCAATTATGCTACTGAATGACACAAAGGGTACTAAGTTTGTTGTTTTAATATCAAGAGAAACAATAGATATGCATAAAAGCGAAAAAATAAAAAATAAAAAGCATAAAAACAACTTTAAATTTTTAGATTTGTTAGATTAGAGCTTGATTTTTTTCTATTACCTTTTTTATTTGATTAGTTTGTTGTCTCTTATTATGTTAATTGCGAGAATATATGTTGTGCTATTGCAGCACTAAACGCTCAATACTTTTGTCTGTGATACTTGTATATTTTTGCATATGTGGTAGTAGAACGAATATTTTATCTCAATGTTATTAAACTCAGACTAGTTATTGACTCAGTTGGAGTACTATATTAATATATTGTTAATAAAATTATTTGGTCAATAATTAAACCGATTAAATTAGATTTATATACAAATATATAATACATATAATAATAATAGTGTTATATGTAACAAAAGACATTGACTTGTGGTGAAGTTGATGTTGTCCCAACACTAGATAAAATGAAAATGAGAACAAATGCATCCATGGGAATTGTCAAGTCTTAAGTTTGCTAGGTCAGCATGTGGTCGGCTTGATTGGGGGCAAGATATTTTTGACGTGTTGCTCGATGATAGACTAAGGTCCATTTCGTTCTGCAAACCATTCACAAGCTCAGTTCTGACAGAGCATTTTGAGTACAACCGTTAATACAGAATATTCAGTCTAACGGTTTATTATAATTATGAATTTTTTTAAAAATATAATTATAATATTAAAATTATTTTTTTCTCTCTTCACCTTACCTAATAATTTTTGAAAAAAGAGAAAAAAAAACAATTTTAATTATAAAGAGTTAATTCAACTCAAAAATTTAAGCTGCTGGATGAGGATCTTTTAATGCTTTATATTATTCTCTAATATATTCTTTTATGCAAGAGCCCTCTGGGCTTAAAGTGTGAATATTGCACAAACTCAATTTTTGATTTATCTTGTACTTATTTTAATGCGAAAATGCGAGTGGTGAAGATCAAATTCGCTATCACTAAAGCTTTGATATCATATAGAAAATCAATTCAATCCAAAAACTTATGTTGTTGAATGAGGACCTTTTTAATACTTTATATTATTCTCTAATATTAATATTATAATTATGTAGTTCCCGAAATATATAATTATAATATGACTATTGCACTGAATACTCAATATATTAAAAAAAAATTCCAGTTCTCATGGTTTTGCTGAAACCTCTCTACTCTTATTTGGCAGCCAATTTTTTGAAACAATTGTTGTGTTTCATACACAGGCACACATTTAAACAATAACTAGTGATTTCCAATCTAGGAAGTATGTGCATGGTCCGATATGGATAATTGAATATGATATGTTGCATTATAAATTTTTTCATAATATTGTGATATAAGTACAAATCCTAAATACATAATTAAGATAAGAATATATTAAAAAATAAGCCTACATGATCTCCTCATAATATCCAGACTGGTCATACAAAGTTGAAGATGATTTGTTGGTGTGTCTAGGCTAGACTGCTTGTAGTTGATGGGGCTCCTTTTGTGGTGCTTTGGTGCTGCTCATTTGTGGGTCTTCAAATCAGTTGTAATGCGAGTAGACTTAACGGGGTGTTTGGTACGAGTATTTGGTATGGAATGATGGGAAAATGGAGTGGAGAATATTTATTTATCATGTTTGGCATGTGTATTATGAACAAAATGTCAGCAATTTTTTTCCCAATAAACCACTTTTGAACTACACAAAAGCAAATTTCTTTCCCACTCAACCTTTGGTATTTTTTTATCCTTGGTCTTGGATTCTGAAAAAGTAATATTTAATTCACTTTTTCCAAAAAAGCAACATTTGATGATGACTCACTTTTTATATTCAAAAAATTAAGGGTATTTTGGTAATTTTCGTTTATATTCCCATCAATATTTTACCATCAACCAAACATTCCATCGGTAAAATTAACCCAACTTTTTCGGCAAAATTTTGACCAACCAAACACTTTTTTGGAACTTATCCGGAATAAAAAAATTCCTACCAAATCACCAACAATATTTTTTTCTCTGTAGAAAAAAGTATCTCTCGTACTAAACACTCCATAAGTGTTAAAGAATAAGTTATGTACATGCTTAGAAGGTCGCGTCCTGCACCCTTGCAAGTAGGTATCCTATTAGCTCATTTTATGGTGTTTAAGATGTCGGTCATGGCCAAGATGTCTATTGTAGGTTTATTGTATCGCTTCATGCTTGAGAAGCCTTAAGGTAACCATGCTATTTCTTGGCCATTGTGGTGCTCAGCTTTCTTCCTAACCAAGATGCTAGTGTGGCACAACAATTCAACTGCAAGATACATGTTTGGCTAGAAACCCCTTAGGTGGTATATGGGATTTCTTCATTGAGGGTTAAAGTCCCTTGGTCCAAGATCTTTGTAGGTGTTATAGAATACAGTGAGTGATATTATATCACTAAGAGATTTGAACCCATGTATAAGGTAGAGGAGGTAGATGATCAGAATTATCACTGTGCAATTATAAAAAAAATATAAGAACAGACTTACTTGTAGTCAGTATAA